CATAATGATTTTTGAATTTTTTATAAAATTTCGCTTCTTTTGACTACCACGTTGACCTACTTTAGAAAAACTTTTTTTCTCCAAAATATTAGGGTACCGGTATTTTTCCCAATAAAGTTGCGCCCTTTAAATCTATCACAATCATTCTCATATTTGATAGTATCACTATTAATAGCTGATAGCAATGTTTAGAGCCTGTAACAAAAAAAAAAATTGTATGACTCACCCTAATATATATATATATATATATATATATATATATATATATATATATATATAATATATATATATATATATATATATATATATATATATATATATATATATATATATATATATACATATATATATATATATATACATATATATATATATATGTATGTATATATATATATATATATATATATATATATATATATATATATATATTATATATATATATATATATATATATATATATTTATATATATGTATATGTATATATATATATATATATTTATATATATATATATATATATATATATATATATTTATATATATATATATATTTATATATATATAGATATTTATATATATATATATATATATACACATATTTGTATATATATATATATATATATATATATATATATATATATATATATATATATATATATAGATATTTATATATGTATATATATATATTTTTAATATATTTATTTATATATTTATATATACTTAATGTATATATACACCTAATATGCTGTCAATTTTATCCTAAAGATGCTCAATAAGATTGAGATCTCAGTTTTGTAAAGATCTTTTGTAAAAACCAATTTTTAACAGATCGAGCATAATACTTTTGGTCATTATCTTATTGTAAGACCCATTTTTTAGTCATTTTATCTTTTACAAATGATAGTATAACATTCTTCATATAAATAAACTATTAAACTCTTTTGTTCATGATATCTTCTATAGAAGATATTATGAACAAAATTCATAATTCATTATGAACATTCCATTCATTGCATAGATGCAATGAATGGAATCCACATTGTCACATTTAAAACATCCCCAAGCTATAGCATTTCCTCCACCATGTTTAATTTTAGGTAACTGTTATTTATATTTAGTCTGCCTCCTACTGGATACCTGACATACCTAATTTGGTCACTACTGAATAGCATAAACTTTGATTCATAAGAGGAAAGGATTTTTGACAGTCATTAACTTTTATGTTAATATGATCTTTTGAAATATGATCTTTTGAAAATTTTATTCTAATTTTTTGCAGATATCAGATACCTATATATAAAATCAGTTTAATGCAAAAATGATTAGAATGAATGTATATGTATACATGTATACAACATTCTCTTTTTTAGGTTATGCAGAGTGCTGGTATATCTGGAGAACAAGTTGTATTATTAATAGAAGATTATCAGTTAGTTGAACCTAATTTTCTAGAACTTATTAATAGTTTATTATGTTCTGGAGATGTGCCTGGATTGTATACATCAGAAGAATTAGACCCTTTGTTGGTTCCATTACGTGAGCAAGCTTCTCAAGAAGGATATAGAGGACCTATTTATGGATATTTTGCTCAACGTGTGTTATGCAATCTGCATGTTGTTTTAATTATGGATTGTTCATCGTCTAATTTTGTAATAAATTGTGAGGCAAACCCTGCATTATATAAATGTTGTTCTTTTCAATGGTTAGATAGTTGGACTAAGTCCAGTATGCTGCAAAGTAAAGTTTTTGTGTACTTTTTTCTGCGCTAATTTTTTACATAGAAATGTTTTAAAAAAATTTTAATTAAAGTTTTTATTTCAAAGGTTTTCTGTATAAATATTTTATAGAATTTTTCTTCTGAATTGTTTTAAAATTTTTATAGAGTATTTTTTCACAAAATTATTTTAAATAATTTTTATCCTAAACATCTTTTTTATTATATTTCAAACTTTTTTACTTGTAATACCCAGACCTTTTTTATTATAAGATTTTGAATTTTTTTATTATTAGTTCCCAAGCTTCTATCAGAAGCCAAAACTGATCCAAATGATTCACAGAAACTACCTCCATTTCCAATGAATGAAAAATTGAGTGAGCATTTCTACCTTTTACATCAAACGTGCTTAAAAGTTGGTGCAACTCCTCGACATTATTTGAAATTCTTAAATAACTACGTTAGTCTTTATACAGCAAAAAAAGAAGTCATTGAAAAAAGAAGAAAGCACTTACAAGTAAACTTTGAAATAAGATTTTTTAACTTTAATATATTATGCATATGGTGATCATATCAATTTTTTTCTATAAGGGTAGATAAAAACTTCAAGTATTTATTCTCAACTTTTTCTTTATTCCTCATATTATAAGGGTAGATAACTTGTAATATATAAATGGTAATATAAATAATAAATGGTAGGGTAGGTAACTTCAAGTATTTATTCTCAACCTATTCTTTATTCCTCTCATATTAGTCAAGTTTCTATTCTTCTTCAACTTCGAGTCAAATTTTTATTCTTTCTCAAAAAATTTTTTTATTTAGGGTGGTGTTTCTAAGTTAAAGGAAGCTACAAATCTTGTAGATGACTTAAAAAAAAATGCTGCCCTTCAAGGAAAACTGCTCTCTGAAAAACAATCCGAAGCAGATGCAGCTTTAAAATCTATTACTCAAAGCATGGAGGTTAACAATTTTTTCAAGCTCTAAAATAAAGCTTAATATTTATTTAAATGCTAAATTTTTTCAAATTATTATTAGCTTATATAAATTGTTTTAAGCTTATTTATATAAAGTTATTTTGCTTAGAATGCTGGGAGTCAAAAAGTGGAAATGGAGCGTTTAAAAGAAAAACAGAATGTTGAAGTTGAAAAACTGGCAAAGCGCAAAGAAGCTATTGAAGCTGAGTTAAGTGAAATTGGACCTGTTCTTGAAGAAGCAAAGCAAGCTGTTGGAAATATTAAATCAGAGTCTCTTAGTGAAATTCGTGCACTGCGTATGCCACCTGATGCTATTCGTGATATTCTTGAGGGTGTGCTCAGGCTGATGGGAATTTTAGATACTTCATGGAATAGTATGAGAGGGTAGCATAATTACTCATAATTAATCCAACTAAGTTTGAATTTCCATTTTCAAAGATTTTATAGTACTTTGAGTAAACTAAATGAAAATTAGTTTTTTAATATAAATTAAGTTTAATCATAAGTGATCTTTAGATTTCTTGCTAAACGTGGTGCAAAAGAAGATATAATTTCTTTTGATGCGCACAGTATTTCACCTGAAATTCGCAGCAGTGTTGAAGAACTATTGGAGTCTAAGAAATCATCATTTGACACTAAAGTATTTTTTTTTTAAGTTTAAATTTGAAAGTTCTTTTAGAACTAAACATTGTAGTTTGAATTTCTATTTTTTTTTTTTTTATTTTTTATTTAATTTTCCTTGAGGTTTTATTGATATCTAGGATATTTAATTAAAATGTTTTTGGTTATTTAGGTAGCAAAGAGAGCAAGTGTTGCAGCAGCTCCATTAGCAGCTTGGGTAATAGCAAATGTTAAATATTCTAAAGTGTTAGAAAAGATTGGACCTCTAGAAAAGGAGCAATCAGAATTGCAAAAGTATGTTTAGTGTAAATTTAAAAAATTTTTAATACTAGTTATAATTAAAATTAAATCTTTTTATAATATTGATAATAATAATAATAATGATAATAATAATAATAATAATAATAATAATAATAATAATGACATACTTTTGAAAAAAATTTTCTTGATAATATTAGGGGCTTGAACAATAAATATTACCCATTTATTGTTCAAGCTCCATAGCAACTCCTAAAAATATTTTTTATTCAAAAATTTTTTAAATCAAGTATTTAAAAAGTATTTTATTACAAGGTGACCAGATTTGTAAAAATATGGGTCTTTGTAAGTCTATTCCACACCAACCTTTTCTATATTTTTTCTATATATATATATATATTCAGACTCATAAAATACAAGTCTTTACCAAACTATCTATTTCTATACTTATTTATTTCACATCGATCATTTCTATACTTAATCCTTATTTATTTCAATATTTTTTAGTCAACAATAGGAAAAGAGTTTATTAAAAAAATTGCTTTGAGAGCAAAAAAAAAAAATGTACTTACTTTTTCAACATACATAAAGTTTATAAAAGATTTATAAAGTAATTTGTTTTTCCCTAACATGCATAACTTTGATAGCTCAGTGGTTTAGTGCGCTGTCAATGGTATTGTTTTGCGTGGGTTCAAATCCCATTCTTTAATACAAAATCTAGCTGTGTATATTTATAGCAAAAAAATTGATTAATTGTTGAAATAAAGTTTTAAAGTTTTTGCTACCTAAGGGCTTTACTTTTTTTTGCATCCACAGTAGCACCTTTTGGAGTAGCAGATGGGCTTATTATTTTTTTCTTTATTAAGTTTTAGAACATAATTTTTTTTCAGACTATCTGCAACTTATTAGGACTAATTAGCAAGCACATTACTAACATGAATATCTTTATATTGACATAAGAGCAATAAATTTCTTTCAGTTTTTTGATGTTTTCAGAAATTTTTTTTTAATTCCTTGCTTTTGTTTATTATAGTATATAATATCTTTATATATGTTATGTATATAATATCTAATAATAATAAAACTTCAAAAGTGTTTTATTTTGGAGTTTAAAAAAAAAATAAAAATAAAAAACAGTCGTAGGATTTGATCTACTGCAATTTACTTCATAAATGCTGCAAGTTAACCACTTTTGCCACTGAGGTGTATTGTACATTAAATGTTTTAATAGTATTTAACAAAAAAAAAGACTTTATAAAACGACAGATTAATGCTATGTAGCATTTATTTACTGTTTTATAAAGTCTTTTTGAAAAATTGCTTTGTTGCAATATCTCCTTGAATTTGATCTATATAGATCAAAATTAAGGAGATGTTGTTGCAATGAAATTTTTAGTTAAAGTTAAACTGTAAAACTTGATATAGGTTTTAACATATGTATGAAATAATCTAATTATGTATATATATATATATATATATATATATATATATATATATATATATATATATATATATATATATATATATATATATATATATATATATATATATATATGTGTATATATATATATATATATATATATATGTATATATATATATAAATTATTTTATATATATGTTAAAACCTATATCAAGTTTTACAGTTTAACTTAAACTTAAATATATATATATATATATATATATATATATATATATATATATATATATATATATATATATAGATTTAAGTTAATATGTTTAATGTGGCACACAGTTTAGACTGTTTACCACATCGCCAAGTGAACTTATTTTTAAGAGTTCTGTTCCTGCTTCTGGATACAATGGTACACTTAAGTACCAACCAAACATAAAACTAATCTAAAGAAAAGAGTGCAAGTGCAATTTCATATGGTACAACCTACCATTTAGCAAAAATGTCACTACAAAAATAGGTAAACATTTTTTAACCCTAGTTGAGCATCATTTCCCCACCAGCCACAGCCTGATCAAAATGTTTAACAAAAGTATACCATACATCAAATCCATAATTAGTTCACACAGAAATATTTTATACAATGTTTGTAATATAGTAAAAGAAAAAAATTGCAATTGCGTTAATAAATCTGCCTGCCCATTAAGCAACAAACGTTTACTAATAACATTGTATACCAAGCAACATGTTTTAACAAACTTGAATACAAAGGCAAAGTATATTTTGGCTCAAGTGCAACCTCTTTTAAAGTTCGATAAACAAACCATTTAAAATCATTTAACACCAATAAGTATAAACACAACACAGAGTTTTCCCAAGAAGTATGGGAGTTAAAAGAAAGTAATTTTATCTATTAAATGGAAAGTTATTAGGCGTTGCAGGCCATACAACCCAGTTTCAAAAACTTGTCATCTTTGTTTTGATTATTTTTAAAAATTTGAAATCTTGTTTTATAAAGGTACTAACTTAATTGACAATTTATATTAAAAAAATTGACAAGTTTTGGAGACATTTTTGAAGTATATTTAAAAAAGGATTTTTTTTTTTTTTTAGAGGCATAGATAAATCTCAAAGCAGATTAGACAAGCTTGGAGAGGCTTTAAGTTCGGTTGATAAAAAAGTGGCTGATATGAAATTAAAGTAAGCTATAACAACTATTTAAGATTTTTTGAAATATTTTACATAACTATATAAGATTACTTTTATAATTATATATATTATAGACAATTATAATAATAATTATAATAATAATTATAATAATAATTATAATAATATATAATAATAAGACAATTATAAAAGTAATTTTATAACTATATAAAATTACTTTTATAATTGTCTTATTATTATATTACATTTATATACACATATACACATACATATTTATATAATCACTTTTTTTTAACTAATTGCAAAGATTTGAAAAGCGTACTCAAGAAGCTGCAAAATTAAAAGTTGAATTAGATAAAGCTGAAGAAACTATTTTAGCTGCTGAGACATTAGTTGACAAGCTACGAGGAGAATTTCAGCGATGGACATTACAGGTTGTAGTTTTGTACCTAATATTAAAAAAAAAGTTCAACTTTAAAAAGACTTTTCAAATGTTTTGTTAAAAATACGTTTTTTATTTTTTATGAAAAATTATTTTTATAATTTTTACCCTTTTATAATATTGTTCTAATTTTTAAGGTTGGTGAGTTAACTTCTGAAGTCGAAAAGCTTCCTGCTTATGCACAACTTGCTGCTGCATTCATAACATACCTTGGTCATCAACCTGAAGATATTCGCAGAAAATATTTAGGAAAGTGGTGTCAAATGATTGGTTTGCAAAATTTTGATTTAAGGAAGTTTCTAACTACAGAAAGTGAGCAGCTTGTATGGAAAGGTGAAGGGCTGCCTTCTGATTTATTGTCCATAGAAAATGCCCTAATTATTTTAAAGGTATTAAAATGCCATATAAATAAAATATATGTACTGTAGTGTACGTATTAAGCCAACATATATAAAAAATAGCATTACACAGGTGATATTGCATTTTCTTATGCATGGATTATTTATAATTGTATAATAAATAGTTGAATAATATAATTATTAGTTATTTTTACTATAAAAAATAACTAAATACAATTGATATATTTTTGTAGTTCTAAGGTTTAATTAATTTAATTAATTTTATATTAAAGTTTATATATATTTTTTTATTAAAACTTTGTATTAAATTATTTTCAAAGCAAATTTATTAAATATTATATATTTTCTATTAAAACTTTATTTTTACACATAAAGCTTAAAGTTAGATAATAAAATGGATGTTTGTAAAGCTTAACATGGTTTATAATAATCTTCTATAAATAAATAAGAAATCAAGTAGAGCTTAGCTATTTTTATTTAGAAATAGAAATTACAAATCAGCTTTATTGATGTGTTTTTAAAAGATATTAAATTCCCTAAAATTAATGCTTTTAGTAAAACATATATGGTGTAGATTTATAAAAATAACAATGCTACATGAAAATAACAATGCTTAAGGATATATTGGAGATATAAAGGCTAGTTGTTTTTTATATTGCTGAAGTGCAATACTTAACACCAAGAAATAATTTCTTGGTGTTAAGTATTGCACCACCACATAAATGGTATTTTATTTTCACACCACCTAATAAGTAGCATATTTGAGTATTAAATTTTTATTATTTTTTATTATGTTATTGTTAAAAATGATTTCATCTTTTATGTTCATATCATATTCCGTATACCAAGTAAGAATCTCACCTTACATTAAGTTATTTAGAATTCTAAAAATATTTTGAAAAGGCTACCTTAGAAATTTGATAGTCAGATAGTGTGTTTATTCTTGTTAACATATTATTGTTGTTTTTATTACTAATAGGATTGCGTTTGCCCATTTTTGGTTGATCCTTCTCAACAAGCTACTCAATGGCTTAAACACCATCTAAAAGATCAGCGGTTAGAAGTTATAAATCAACAGGTTTAAAATCTTTTTATAATTTTAAAAATGAATACATCAGAAATGCTTAAATAACATCAAAAATGCATAAATAACACAATTACATAAATTAATATGAAATAAAAGATTTTACTTTTTATTAGCCTTAAAATTTGTCTTATAAAAAATGTCTTATAAAAACATATTAACATAGGATGGAAACTTTGTCACATCTTTGGAACTTGCAGTTAGATTTGGAAAAACATTGATAATCCAAGAAGTTGATGGTGTAGAACCTATTCTCTATCCAATCCTTCGAAAAGATTTTGTTAGTCAAGGTTACAGATTATGTGAATTTTTTGTTCAAAAAAAAACAATATTATCCCAGCGGGCATTTGTTTTTAAAAGTTGCATTCAAAATGTATTTTAAATGTCTTTTAAATGTCATCTAAACATTCTTACGTAAAAAATGTTTAAAAGACTTTTAAAAAATGTTTAAAAGACATTTAGAACGTAACTTTGAAAAACAAACGTCCATAGGGATGTTATATAGTGATCAGCATATAGTTTATTATTATTTGTCATATAATAAAAAAACAATTATAGAGACATACTAAAAAATATCTTTTTTATAACCTGATTGTTATTTTAATGTTTCAATACTTTAAAACATTAATAAAATACAGATGAGTAAATCTTCAATTAAAAGAGAAACACTATCTTCAATTTTTTTTTTTTATCCATTTAACCATAAAGTTGAAATAATTACAAAGCGATTTATAATTCCACAAAATTAGGTTTGGTATCACTCATATAGTTAAAAACAAGTCATTGGAGCTTAATTAAATAAACCTTAATTAAATAAACAAATAAAGCAAAAAAAAGTAATATAGATAGCGACCAAAGTAAAATTAAACAAAATAAAAAGAAAAAAATATTTAAAAAAGCAAAACAAATAACACAAAAAAGGGCAAAAGTGAATAAACTGACATGATAGATAACAAATGAATGTTTGAAAATAAGAACAAATGACGATCAGAAGGATGATAAAAATAATAAATAAAATTTAAAAAAAAAAAAAAAAAAAGGATATTTTTAAATATTATGATAAAACAAAAAAAAAAAAAATAACATGAATAATAGCAACAAACATAAAAAGAAACGACAATATAAATAATTAGCAACAAGACCACAAAAAAATGCGCGTCAACATAAACAATACACAAGTGTACATATCAATATAACCAATGCACAAAATTACACCACAGTATAAACAAAACATAAAAAATACACAAAAACACATGGCATTATAAATAATACACAAAAATACAAGACAGTATAAACAATCCATACAACATAAATTAATCAAACTTAAAAAATGTTATTTTTATACCTTTTAATAACTTGAAGTTTTTATTTTCGAATTTATCACAAACATTTTTATTCTTTTAACTTTGCGTTTAGTTCTTCTGTTTAATGTTTTTCTTTAATTTTTATTCTTTAATATTTTAATAGTTTTCACTTTATTTTTTTTATTTTTCAAATCTTCTATTCTAAACAATTTTCTATTTGTTTTTCTTTTGGTCCTTTATCTATTTTTCACCTTTTCACAGTTAAAAAAATGCTTCCTCCGTTTGCAAAGTCATTGCAAAGTGATTGTTAATTAAATGAGGAACACTTATTATGGCTTGAGTTTTACAAAAATTTTTAATGAAACATTGTTGTATAGTTTTATATTTTTTCTAGGTCCTAGATATGTTGTTAACGTTGGAGAAAAGTCTGTTGATTATAATGAAGGATTTAGGTAAACAACTTAATAACTTGAACTATGTTTCTTTTTTACCAAATTATTTTAGAGTAAAGTTTTACAAATAGAAATTATTTATTTAGGGTTTATCTTACAACTCGTAATCCTCATCCAGAGTTAACACCAGATGCTGCATCATTAGTAAATGAAGTTAATTTTACAACTACTCGTGCTGGTCTCACAGGACAGGTTTCTTTTTTTCTAAAATTAATTTTTTTTTTTTTTTTTTTTTCATTAGGTTGTTTGATATATTTTTCAAATTTATTCACAGGTATTTTTTTGCACTCTTTACAAGATATTTATTTATTTTAAAATTTAATTAGTATTATTTTTTTTCTTTGTAAATCATCCAAATATACTTTAAGGCATATTTTTTCAAAACTACTTTTTAAGTAAATGTAGCGTGTTTTTTTTTTTGTCTCTTTTATCAACTGTTTATTGAAATTATTTATTTATTTGTAAACAGCTTTTAGCATTGACTTTAAAAATGGAAAAACCTGAGTTAGAGGTAAAAAAATCTGAGCTATTGCACAAAGAAGAACAATTAAAAATTCAGTTAGCTGAGCTTGAAGATTCATTGCTTGAGGTTAAAAAAGTTGCTTTAATTTTTAAGTGCATTTATAATATAATAGTTTTGATGTCCTTCAGTATAATACATCTCTTTTTTTAAATAATTTTATTGCAACTAGGTTATTTTAAACAATTTTGCACTTGTTTTAACTTAATGCATTTATTTCTAACCTGTAATGGTTTTTAAATTGAACAGCCATATTTAAATTGAACAACCATATTTAAGTAGTATTTTAACAATCTTATGACTATGGTAATCAAGGGTTAAATGAGAAAATTTGTTTTTCCCGTTCTCTAATATATTTCTGTATAAGATGAAAAAATGACACAGTGGTGTGAAAAGTATTAGAGCCGTTTACAATTTTTGTTGGTTTTTTAGTTTTTATATAATTACAAGAAGAAAAAAAATGTCATGTCATAGTTCTTTTGGAAACTATAAATAAACTTGAAATTTTAACTAGTTAATTAATTCTTTTAATTTTTAGGGCATGTTTACATAATTTTAACACTTTTTTTACATATATAAATGCAGTTGGTACCTGTTTTGACATGTTTTATACCTTACTAGTAAAGTTTTAATGATTGTGAGAAAATATGTGCATACAGCTTAAAGGCACTTGAGCTATATGTGCTAGTGAAGTTTTAATGATTGTGGGAAAACATGTGCATACAGCTTAATGACATTTAGTATATTTTTGTTTATACTTTGTATGTATCATATGATACATAGTACAAGTACACCTTTATGGTGCCATAGTTAGAGTCAAAGTTAGAAGTCAACCTCTTTAATGTTAAGTTTTAGTAGGACTCAAGTCCTACTAAAATGCAGTTTTTTAGATAAAATTTTTGAAAAAGTTGGTTGCAGTTAGTAAGCAGTTTATACTGTCCCAAAAAACTTTATATAAGATTGATATTGACTCTAAAATGCTTAGCTACAAATGGAAAAGTTGATCATAATAGAATCTGTCATTTTGATTAATTTAGTGCAAGAAAATCAAAAAAAGGTTTCTAACAGTTGTGTAAATTATTATTTTATCTAGTCCCATTTTCTTTCAGAACAAGCAAGAAATCACTGCAATCAAAACCAAATCAATCTAAAAACAAAGTATTCAACTGCTGTTAAATTTGAATCAAAATGAATAGTGTTATTTTATTGCAAACATTTTATTGGATTGCTCACTCTGTTCATATTTTCTCAATTGCAAGGTAGATTTTTAAAAAATTAAGTTCATAATTCAAATTAGTGCCATTTTTTAGCCAGTATAAATTATCTCTCTTGTTTGTTACAGCCTTTATAAAAGCGAAAAAAAAATTCAAATTTTCAATGGTCTAGAAATTCACCAGGTATAAATCCCATTCAAAATGTAAAGATAATCAACATCCAGAGCATTTCACAACATCAATAAGCTTGCAAAGTCTCATTGATGTTGCTCTTAATTAATGTGCATATGATCCTGAATTCAAAGAAACGTGCCCTAAATTTAAAAATGACACAGTGAAATTTATTGAAAAATTTGTTTAATTAAAATTTGCATTAAGAAGAATTTTCATCTCAAGATGTAAAACGTATTAAAGAAGAAGAATTTTCATCTCAAGATGTAAAACGTATTAAAGAAGAATTTTCATCTCAAGATGTAAAACGTATTAATGAGTTAAATCAAAATATGAATGAAATTTAAACAACATAAAAAATTGAAACAACATAAAGAATTAACAACTCATGGCATTCAACATAAAAAATTTACAAATAGTTTCACATAAAAACTTTAGTTTGTGCTTTTTAAGTTTTTGATCATAATATTTTTCACACCACTGTAAATGCTAAAAAGCTTGTTTGTTTGTTTTTTTTTGTTTTTTTTGCATATTTATTTTGCAAAACTCTTATAGTTTTATGTCTCTAATCTGTTTTTATATTGCCAATAACTTACAATCAATTGCAAGAAAATGTTGTTGGTAAGGTTTGATTGTTTGACATATGAAGAGCATTTTTTTAAAAGAGTGAAGTCCATTATTTCTTAAATTGAGTTTTTAAGTAATGAAGAGTTCATTAAAACCTTTTAAAAGGACTCTTCATTAAAAAAAGTTTAAAAAAATGCTTATGTTCATTATGCAGGCTTATGTTCATTTTAAACACTTAACAGTTTATTAAAAGTAAATAAAACATTTGAAAGTAAAATTAATTTTGTTCAAATCACAATAAACTGTTAGAAATTATAAAAGGTATAGATATTTTGTAAGTTTTTTTTTACTTCTCTCGAAAATGTAAAATGTGATTTCTTTTAAAAAAATTGCTTTTCATATGACATAGGAGGAAAAAAACCATGTTAAATTTTGTTTGTAAAATTTTTTGAGGAGACTTAAACCCCTCACTTTTTAATGATTAGTTCACTAGTTGATTAAGTGCAAATAATAACAATAACAGTGCAAATATTTATTTATTTTACATGTTAAAATAGTTGCTATAAGTTGCTACATTTTTTGATTGCTTTTTTAAATTTTCTTTCAACTAGTCTTTAGCAAATGCAGAAGGAAACATTCTTGAAAATAAAGAACTTTTAAGTTCGCTTAACAAAACAAAGCTAAGTAGCATTACTATCAGCGATTCGTTAAAAGATGCTCACCAAATCCAAGCTTCACTTGATAAAGTAAAACTATTACTTTATTCTAAGCCTTTTTTTTTTTAATTTGAATTAAACAATTATCTTTGTATACTACTCTGTGCTATTATTATTTGCTTTTGATTTAAAATATTTTTTTCTACTGTTTAATTTTGTTTAGGAGAGAGATGTTTACTTGTCTTTAGCTGAACATGGAAGTGCATTATATTTTGCTATATGTGACCTGGCTAAAATCAACAACATGTATAGATTTAGTCTCAATTGCTTTTTGAGATTGTTTAAAAGAGCATTAGAGTCAATAAAGGTGAGTAAATAATTGTTGTTGTTATTTTAATATATTTCAACATGACTTAAAAACAACATAAAGGTTTGAGAAGTTTTCCTTTTTTTTAGGACAAAGGTACAAGTGACAACCATATTAATATTCTTAAAGACTCAGTTCAAACATTAGTGTATGAATATGTTTGTAGGTCACTTTTTAAAGTGAGTTTTTTTTTATTTTAATAGATATATAGATTTTTTTACTTCATTTTCTTTTTTAGTTTAATTTTTTTTTTCTTTATGTATTTTTATTAATTGTTTTTTTTTAGGCTGACAGGCTCTTATTTGGTTTACATTTGGTACATGGAGTCTACCCAAATCTTTTTGAAAAACAAGTTAGTTATTTTATGGTGCTTTTTTTTATTATTATGTTGTTTGTATTACTGAAATACTACTGGTTTTTTTTGCTGTTTGAGATTGTTACCATTTTGTTTTTAAAGGAGTGGGAATTTTTTTGTGGAATTATTGTAAACACTGCTTTAAATGAAAAGGTATGATATTTTATTTCTTGATTTACTTTCTGCAAAATGAAAATTAATCATATATTATTAATTTTTTTTCAAATTTAAAGGATTTATTAGCCAGTCTGAAAAATGAAGTTCCATCATGGGTTGATGAAGAGCGTTATTCATCTGTATCCTCCCTAAAGGTACAAAACTCCAAAATATTAATAAATAATCTCTTTTAAAACCTATGATTATCTGGTTGTAGTGTTTTATGTTGTTAATACTTTGTTTAGCTTGCTGTAGTGTTTAGCCTATATCTTTATGAATTTTACTTTTTATATTTTTATAGAGTCTTATTAAATCAATTTTATAGGATAAAAAAATTAAAGTTTAATAAATATTTTTAAAATTTAGTTTAAAAATTGAGTTTTGACATGATTTATCTTCATGATTATCTGCTAATTGTTTGTTTTATTAGTAAAATGATTTTATTGGGCATAAATTTTTATATTTTGATTTTAAATTTAATCAAATTTAGTTCATATTTCAATTTCTCATTGTTTATCATAGTTTCCTGTCAACCTCTTAACAAATCAGTACAATTGTTTGCTACTAAATCATTTGTTAACACATTTGATTTCTGCTCAATACTTTAAAATAATTGTTGTTGTTCAATGCAATCGTTTGCTATTCAATACAATTGTTTACTGCTCAATACTTTATTGACACAATGGTTTGCTGTTCAATACAATTGTTTACTACTCAATCTTTTATAAAAAAATATTGTAACAAAAAGATTCTTTTATTAAAAAATTTTTAATAAAAGAATCTTTTTGAGATGAGATGATGAGATAAGTAGTTTAGAGATGAGATGAGTTGATGAGATAAGTAGTTTAGAGATAAGATGAGATGATGAGATAAGTAGTTTAGTGATGAGATGAGATGATGAGATAAGAAGTTTAGAGATGAGATAATGAGAGTTCTTTATCACAAGCTAAAGAAGAGAAATGAGAAATAACTTTATCAACAAAAGCTTTTTCTCTGAGATTCAGGAAAAATCGTTAGATTCAAGAGATGAATCAAGAAAAAGTTATTTGCATATAATTGTCTTATCTTTTGGAAATTTAATAAAATCAGATCCATGTATGAGAGATGTTATATCTGTGTTATCATCTCTTGCAATTATAAAAAGATATTTACTCTCAAGAGAGATGTTCTGCTGAAAAAGATTATGATTATGATAAGAAATCGAGACACAAGAAATTGGAGAAAATCATAGGGTAAGAAAACTCATAATAGAGTAAAATTCAACAAATCATATAGTAAGGTTTGACTTCAAATGAATATGGAATAAAAGATTCAATTCTTGCCTAAATCTAATTAATAGGAGAAGCAATCTTTAGCTAAAGGACCATCACAAAGAAAATTAAAAAAAAATCCTAGTCTATTATAACATAGTTGTACAAAGTTTCATGATTTTTTCAGAAGTTTAATGGTTCTGGTGTAATACAAAATTTTAGTGACAGGAATTGTGTACAGGAAATTGTGTAGGAGGAAAAACTGAGCTGAGATAAATAATCAAAAAGCAAAGATGATTGATTTGGATTTTCTGAAAAATAAGTTGTAAAGTTAGCTATCTGGGTAATAGAATAAGAAAGACAAAAGTTTTTAATTATAAAAGATCATAGTACTGAGTATCTTTTAAAGTTAAAATTGTTAAAATTCAATGTGTCAAAGCATTTTTCTCTGATAAACATTCAAGTTACCAACAACAATAATACTGAGAAATAAATAAAGAGAAAAAATTTGTCAATTTTATAAATGAACATTGTAGTTTATGGGCAAAAATAAGGAAAAAAAGAAAGTTGGTTGAGTAAAGTGGTGCTAATATGAAAACACTTTAAAGGATATTTAGAAGAATCAAGCCCAATTTTTTAATAAGTAAATCTGCTTACAATGAGTTTTTTTAATTAAGACTAGCTTTAACTTAACTAAGTTAAATATTAATAATACATATAATAATATATATATATATATATATATATATATATATATATATATATATATATATATATATATATATATATATATATATATATATACACATTTGCAGTAGTTTTTTTATATTTCTGTTGTTTTTTGATTTTTTTTTTTGTAAAATTTTTTAATTATTACTAAATTAAAAAACTCAATTGAAACTCAAATTGTTTTTATTTAATTTTAGCAGATAATATATTTAACAGTTTTTTTTTTTTTTTTTTGCAGGCAACTTTTAATACACTTTTTTCAACATTGGATCTTACAAATCAACAAACTTGGGGAAACTTTGGGAAAAGCTCACAGTGTGAACTTGAGTTTCCAGCATCATTATCTAAGAAAGTATCAGCTTTTCAGCAGGTATGTTTTGAGTTGTTGTTTCTCAAAACTCTCAAAACAAATCATAAGTATATGTCATAAAATAGAAAATAAAGTAGATATTTAACTAATTTTTTATTGGTTTGCAAAAAAAGTTTTGCAAAACAAATCTTGCATTTTGCATGACTAAGTTATACAACTAAATATAAAAATGTTGCTGATTGGTTATTTTTGTGCATACCTTTTACCCTAGGTTGTGTACCTTTTACCCTAGATTTATGTATACCGCTTACCCTAGATTTTTCTGTATATACCTATGTTCTGTGCAACCTTAAAGTCTTATCAAAATATTTTAAAAAGCTTCAAATGTGATTAAAATAGTCATCATAAACAATTTTATGCAACCTTTTATAGAAAATTGTCAAACTAACATTATAATAAAATGATTCAACAATAAAAAGTTTGTTTATTTTTTATTTTATTTTTACAATATTTTCTGTTTTTTTTTTTTCTTTCTTTGATTATTTAAAGCTAAGTTAATTGAAAAAAAAAAGGTAAACATGTTGGTCTATTGGTAAACATAAAGGTAAACATGTTGGTCTATAAAATAGGCCTAGTAAATATTTTACTTAGCCTATTTTTAAAAAAATTAGTATTATATATTAATTGTAAAAGGAAATAGACCTTTTTTACCAATTATTTTCAGTGTGCAATAGCAAGTAATTTATATATATATATATATATATATATATATATATATATATATATATATATATATATATATATATATATATATATATATATATATATATATATATATATACACACATTTTAATAAATTAATAAAGAATTCTTTCTCTTTTTTTATGTATAAACAAAGTTGCTTGTTGTTCAAGCATTTCGACCAGATCGATTGCAAAGCGCTATAAGTGTTTTTACTGCAAGGTCGTTAGGTAAAGTTGTTCTTAATAAAAATTAATAGTAATAAAAAGTTATTTTCTTATTTTTTATTCTTTTAATTTTTAAGTTTGCTATAATAAATGAAAAGTTGAATCTTTTTTCTTGCTTGTTTTCAAGATGATTTTAAAAAACTAATTATAAATACAGTAGTGCCCATTGAATTAAGGTACCTAGCAGAATTGCAGTTTTAATTAAGCAAGTCCAGTTTCTCTTTCATGAAATTGTATTATATGTACTATTAGTATTATAAAATGTTCTAAAACATATCTAGCAGCATTACTTTTAAAATTCATCAACAAAAGGTCTCAAAATTCTAGTATTTGGTAGAATAACTACGATTTTTCAATACAGCCTGTATACGAGAAGGCATACTTTTTACAAGCTTGTCACAGTACTCTGGGGTAATTTTATTTACCCACACCTGCTTCAATACATCTTTTAAATGTTCTTCTGACATTGGACGATGTGCTGACACTTTAGCTTTCATTAAGTTCCAACAGTTTTCAATAACGTTCAAATCAGGCAAATTTGAGGGCCAGTTCTTCAAAAGTTGCACATTGTTGCCATGAAACCACTTCTTGACTGATTTCGTAGTATGACACGGTGCTGAGTCTTGTTGAAAGATGGTAGTTTTAAAAATGTTCATATGTCTCTTAACCTTTGACTCTAAAACCTGTATATACTTTGCAGCATTGACCTTTTCACCCTTACCGAAGATGTGGATTCCGCATCTACCCTTAGCTGAGATAGCTCCCCACACCATAACAGATGGTGGATGTTTAACGGTCTTCAGAGTGTATTTAGGGTTGAGTCTTTCACCTACCGGTTGACGAACATAATTGTACCCTGAACCACAAAGATGCTGGAAAGTACTTTCGTCAGTAAACATCACAGTAGTCCACCACTCAGCAGTTTTGTCCTTCATATCACGACATAATTTAACACGTACATGAAGCTGCTTCTTAGTGAGAAATGGCTTCTTTGCTAGTCTATGCGCATGCAGTTTAATTTCTGTAGACAGACGTCTGCAAACACTTCTGGCACTAATATTAATGCCTCTTTCCGTGCCCCATTGGGTAACTCGGGCAGAGGAAGTGTGAGAACTGGCTTGCACAATACTTTTCAGGTATCAATCACCAGTGTGTAGTTTTGCGAACGCCATGGCAATTTTGATGTCTAGAACTCCCATGCAATTTTATAACGTTTTGTACAGCGCATCTTGATATTTCTAGACGTTTACTAATGACAACTTGTGAGTACCCTTCACCATGCAAAGTTATGACTTGACCTTTAACAAAATCACTCAAATCTGCCTTTTTACCCATGTTTTCTTTATTTAATTTATTTACTATTTACTTAAAAAAAAGAACTTTAATAAGCTTTGATGATGTACTTTAAACAAAGGTATGCGAAAAATTTCAACTTGAATCATTTAATGACATTGACATATAATATTTTGCATATTTAAGAGGCACATTCAAAGTTATACTAAATTTATCCAAATACTGTAAGGTGCCTTAATTCAATGGCCACTACTGTACAAAGTTGCTGGTAGATTTTCTTTTATTATTTTGTTAAACTTATGCAGGTCTAAAGGTGTTGTCTACTTCGTCATTGAGTTTAAAAAATTTGGTTAAAGAGACTACATCAAAGGAGCCTATTCTTATCATTATTTCTCCAGGATCTGATCCTTCACAAGTAATTTTTTGTTTTACATGAAATAAAAATTTATTATTTTTATGACAAAAATAAGTTTTTTTAATAACATATAATATTGATAATTACATATTACAATGAATAAAATACTACATTAATACTTAATAAAATTTATACAAAAGATTTTAGGTTACAATTATTTATTTTGAACTTAGGAGTTAGAAGAGTTAGCTATACAAACTGTGGGAAAAGAAAGATATCATCAGGTAATAAAATATCAATATTTTATCAAAAAAAAAAATTTAATAAGAACTTTAGATTGTCATTCTTAAAATTAGAACTTCATACATAATTTATTGTAATATCTAGTAATTTTTTTTGAAGATTTTTGTTTACTTATATGTCATGTTTTGTTTTAAGTATTCTTTAATGATAAAATTACTATTGACTATGATTGTGTATAAACTTTTTCTTCTTAAAATAAATCTGCGTTTATTCTGAACATTTGTTCATTTTACTTTGTTTTTATTAGTTATCCTCCTATATATAAAAGCAATAATGATTTTGATGTTTAATAATAGATTAACTTTTTTTTTGCAATGACAAGAAGTGTGTGGTCATTAAATTCAAGAGATGAATTATAGGAAAAGTTATTTATAATTAGTTTCAGATTGTTTTTGGTAGAGTTAATAAGATCAGATCCATATATGAGAGATATGCTGTTGCACAGTGGGCCAGATATTAGACTCATGGTGGACAAAATTATTTGATCTTTTCTTTCTTTTTTTATTAAAACCCTTTATATGTCTAAATAATCACTTTGTATTAAGATATTTTTACTTTTATCAGAAATTTTAGTTAAATAGTTGCTAATTCTAAAAATTATTTAAAAAACTTTATTAAACTTTAAAAATGCGGATTTAAAATTTTTAAATTTCAAATCCTACAGTTTCTTAAAATCAAGGAACTGAATAACAAACTCTTTTGGTGGAATAAACTTAAAAAAAAAATGATGCAACAAACTTTAAAAATGAAAATGCACTTACTTTAGAAAAAATGAAAATTTATCTTTAGATTTGAAACTCTTTTATCAATATTATATAATAACTTTGAAATATATAGATAAATATATAGAAATATATAGAAAATATAAATGAATATATAGATTTGAAAATATATTATTGATATTATTATGTCTACAACGTTTTGAATAAGTCTGTAGATTATTTATCATCTTTCTATGTAAAAATGTATTTTTTTTTATTTTTAATCTATTGGCAGCACATTCTGGATGAACAATATTACAACATTTTTATTATTATAAAGTCTGCTGAGTTATTAAGGTACTATGCAAATAATCAACAAGCACTCTTCATTCATCACTATTTTCATTTTAACTTACCTGCTTGTAAACACTATATCCTGTATCACCATCAAAACCAGCCTTGCATCTAAATGTCAGTTTAGTCAATTCCTTAGCATTGTGATTAGCAAAGTAGTTTGTATATCGCATAGCTTTTTAAGAGTGTGTTTTAGAAGATCTTTTAGCAGTATTAGTACTGAAATATTTATTTGAATGTTCTTAGGATAGCATTTAGCTTTTGAAGATCCTATATCATTATATAAAGGATATATTTTTTCAGCACCATTTCTTAGAAGCTGGCATGTTGATTTTTATATACCACCATTAATAATGAATGCTAAAGCATCATCAGATGAATATATCTAAGCAGGTTTAATGGGAATTTTATTTTAAATAACAGAAATTTTTGTGCCAGTTTTGTACTTAAACTCACTTCTTAGTTTCAATTTTGTTGCATAAAGTAATTTATGGCTAAATAAAATATTAAAAACATTGTTAAGCTTATACTTTTTATTTTGTTACAAGCTTTTTCTAAAGAGCAACATGGTTTCCCAACTTCATTAACTGATGGTGTAGCATTTAATGTACTGTAGGTGTATTGAAAATCTTGAGCAAGCCAATTTTCATTACTTCTCTCAAAATGAGTATTATCATTGTTTGCAGCTATCAACTTTTAACATTTCAATCAGAATCCTCTAGTTGGATATCTGCAAAAACTAAAACAGTTAATTTCGATGAAAAGAATGGTATATCATTAGAAACTAGTTTATTTTGTTATATAAGTCCGTAAATGTCATCAGTTTTAATATTATTACTAAACAAAAAAATAAAAAAATTGTTAGGTTAACAGTGCAATTTGTATTGAATAAAATAACAAACAAAATAACATGTATTTTTGTTTACGAGAAATAAAAGTTGATTTCAAGCAATTAATATAAGTAACAAGTCATTATTTTAAAATGTTAAATAAACCCAAAAGGGGAAGTTAGGGGTAATGTGTATAATTCATATAGGTTGTATAAATATTATATTTGTATAAATATTACTAGTTCAAGTATTTAATATAGGTTCTTGTAGGCTCCCTAAATTATGTGATATTTTTTGTACAAAATAAAAGTAGTAAATGTTAAAAATTTAAGTGTTAAAAAAAAAAGTGTATTATGAAGGCTGATCTTTACTTTATTTTTTTTAAATATATAAAATATGGGATTTGTTTATATATATATTTTTTTTAATTATAAAATATGGGATTTGTTTATATATTTAAACTATTTAACAGTAAAATAAATTTTACTGTTAAATAGTTTAAATATATAAACAAATCCCATAAGCTCATAAAATTTTAAATGTTACTGTTTACTATAGCTATGCATAAAAAATAAAAGTTTCAAACTTTTTTTTTTTTTTTAAAAAATTTTTTTTTTTATACATGAAACCGCAACTGATTTTTGTGGTTTTAAAGACACTATTATACGCAAAAAAAATTTTAAAACTTTAAATAAAAGTATTACAAATATGTTTTATTACATGGTTTTGAATATAATAAATATTTTTATTTTAGGTTTTGTCCCCCACCTGGCCCACTGTGCGTTGTTTTAAATTTTCTAAATATTCCAATACTCCTTAATTAATCACCTAATTTCTGAGATAATATATGAAAAATCTGTAAATGATCTAGAACCAAATGAGTTGTGTCAGAGAATACCTTTTTGCATGGATTTTTTGTATTATTAAAAAAATATTTGTTCTCCAGAGATTCTTTTTTGTGGAAAAGATAAAAAAATGATTATAATTAGAAAGTTTCTAATTTGTGCAACTGTTTCTATAATTGGAAACAGCATAAAAAAGAAAACCAATGCATAGGCTTGATTTTAAATAATTAAACAGCTGTTGCAGAAACCATAGGGTAAAGCTGGGGTAACTATGAGGTAAGGAATTTAAATGATGAATAGAAATAAAAGCTTCCATGAATCTGCAAGATTACAAAAGGGGCATAGTTTTCAATAGAGAAACAAATAGTATCAGGATAAAGATCTTCACAAAGAAAGTCAAAAAAAGAATCTCCTTAAGGTATTAGTAAGAAGGGCATGGCATGTAGATGAAGGGCATGGCATGTAGATGAAGGGCATGGCATGTAGATGAAGGGCATGGCATGTAGATGAAGGGCATGGCATGTAGATGAAGGGCATGGCATGTAGATGAAGGGCATGGCATGTAGATGAAGGGCATGGCATGTAGAGATAGGATGAATCTAATGTAGAAGAAGTGTGAGACAAAAGTTTTAGATCATAACATTGTCTAAAGGAGAACAAAGTGATACTGAAGTTTAGAGACAAGGGAGAAATGCTAGGGTTAGAGACAAGAAAAAAAATCAAGGACTGATGGTAACTGGTAAGGGTTACCTGGATAACAAGTTTCAAAGTTAACTATCTGTGTAGAAGATTGAGAAGGACGAAGGGTTTTAACTTTAGAGCCAGGAAACCCAGTGGTACTAGAGCCAAACCATTCAGTGTAATGAGTAATTAAGTCACCAATAACAACAATATTGACTGGGGATAGAGAGAAAGAGCTTGGTCAGTTTGATCAGAAACAAAATTTGAAAGAATGCAGTCTTGGAAAAATAGATAATAATAAAGATCAAAAAGAAAAATGATTGAAGAGGCAAGCAAAAGAGCATAAAAGAATATTGGAGTATTTAGAGAATTCTAACCTGATTTCATGACAAACATATAACTGTTAAAGTCTTTACAAATCAAAGGATAATAATCATAAACGCTAAGATCTAAAGATGAATTGACTAATTTTAAATTAGTCTTGCATAGAGTAAGTAGGTCTGGTGAATTTAGTTAAATGTAAGATTAAATGAAAAGTTACTTTGAAGACCACAAATATTTGTAAAAGATAGATTAAAAAATTTGGTAGTATTAATGGTTATTTTTGAATAATATTTTTAGGTAAAAGTTGAATAATCTTTTTAATAACTAGACAATGTTACTCTAACCCTACGTATGTCCATAATATATATTGTGTGTGACACCCTAAACAATTAAACTTTGTGGTCATCTCATTCCATCTAATCAAACCCATTTCATAACAAAAGGCTCTTTAGGTGGCATTGACAGTGCATATAGAAAGCACTAACAGGGACACCTATACACAACATAGCTCTGTTATTTCAATTAATTACAATATCTAGTAATTATAATTTGTAATTTTTTAAATAAAATGGAATTTTATTCTAAAAATTAGAAATTTTTAGTTTAATTTTTTAAAAAAAGCTGATATCATCAGGCAATAAAAGATATCATCAGCTAATGAAAGATATTATTAGGTAATAAAATATATTTTTTTGAATAAAAAAATTTTTAAGGTAGCCATTCTTTTTTTTTAGGTAGCCATGGGTCAAGGACAAGCTGAGATTGCCATGAAACTTCTACAAGATTGTGCAAAGTCTGGTGATTGGTTATGCTTGAAAAATCTACATCTTGTTACTCCATGGCTTAGCAAACTTGAAAGTGTAATTATACTTAGGATAATCATTGTAGTTGTTAATTTGATAAAAGTTAAATCATGTTAAATTAAATTTAATAATAACAATTTATTAACTATATTGTTTTATAAATTTTTCACATTGTTTTTTTTTTTAAATAATTTAGTTACTAAACAGTATTGAACCAAGTGATGGTTTTCGTCTTTGGATGACAGCTGAAACTCACGTCAAATTTCCTACAATTCTTTTGCAATCAAGTTTAAAAGTGACATTTGAAGCTCCTCCTGGTATTAAAAAAAATATGCAGCGTTCTTTTGAAAGCTGGACTCCTAACTTTTTTCAACAGTCAACTAATAACAGTCGCTGTTATACTTTGTTTGCTCTTGCATGGTTTCATGCATTAGTTGAAGAAAGAAGAAATTTTATACCACAGGTAATCTGCTCAGGACATGTTAATAGTGTGTGTAGAGATAAGGGTTATAGTTATATTTTTAATTTCTTTTTAAAACATGTTAATTACATTGTATTTTTATATGACTATTTATTTGGAAACATTTTTATTTTTTATTTTATATTAACACTTGTGTATGAATCAGGGATGGACTAAATTTTATGAGTTTTCAATGGCTGATCTTCGAGCTGGTGCAGATATTGTTGATAGATTATTTAAAAAAGCTGGTAAAGACAATTATTATGTTTTTAGTATTTGTTTAAAGTATAATAAATTTCTATGTATTTATTTTTTTATGTTTCAAGGTAATAAATCGATATCCTGGGATTTTTTGCATGGTTTATTTGAAAATGCAATTTACGGTGGAAGAGTTGATAACAACTTTGATGTTCGCGTGCTTTCTTCCTACCTTCATATGTATTTTTCTGATAAACTTACGGTAGATTTTTTATATAAGTAGTACATGTATTTTAGTAATTAAAGATTTATTGTTTAAACACTTTGGTACTTTTATTTAATTTAATATTTTTTAAACATTTTTTTAGAGTTCCTCAAATAAAACTTTATTTCCTGCTAGTGTTTCTTTACCAGCAACAACAAACTATAGAGTATGTATTTAAAATTTCATACATAAATGACTTTTATGTCTAATTATAACATTTTTTATTATGTTTTTTTTGTTTAAACTTCTTTTGTTTTGTCTTTTTTTTTTTGTCTGTATTTTATTTATCAACTTTGACATTATTTTTTTATCATGCATTATGTTTTTTATTCTGTTAATGTTTTTAAACTTTATCAAGGTTATGGTTGAATAGTGCATTCTATAAAAACATTCTATTTCCTGGTGAAAATTGTAGGATATTTTTAAAAACACAAAATGGCTTTTTTTATAGCTCTTATAAACATGTTACTTGGTTAAACATGTTACTTGGTTGAACATGTTACTTGGTTAAACATGTTATTTAGTCTGGGTAAACTAGTTTTGCATGAGATTATTCAAAATCATTATCAAATAAGTAGCTTTATAGTTGAAGTTAATATTAGAATAGTTACAACAGGATTAAACATTTATTTCTACTAAACTCAAGATTAAGGTGGGGGGTTTGTAAATGGGTTGTTTATAAAAGGGGATTTATAAAAACTATTTTTCTTAATGTTTTCTTCGGTTCATAAAAATAGTTTTTGAAAACAAATTCTCCAGTTTCCAGAATGTGCTTAATATATCACAGGGATTATCTTTTTCTGGAATTCAAGATATTTTTTTTAATTTTATTTTTTCCCAATATCCAAATAGTTTTCTTTAAATACAAGTTTAAAATATTTTTTTGTCATCAAGTAATGAAAACAGTAAAAGTATCCTTCATCAAATAATCTACGCTATATTCAATTAGGTTTGGGACTATTTGTATGCATTTACAACTAATTTTTCTTTCTTTTTTTTAAACCCATATTTATTATTTTGACTATTTCACCTAAAAATCTAGTTAAATTTAATTTAATAATTTTTCTATTTAAGTTGTATTAATTTGTAAACTATGATTAAGTAAGTATTGAAATATTTTTTTTATATGAAAGAATGCCAAAACCTAAACCCTTAGTAGAGTATTAATTTCACTCCACTGTGCCTGTCTCCATTTAAGTCAGTCGATGTATGTACGCTCCACTGTGGCTATGGCTTTAACATTTAACTGATGTCTGTATTGATGCACTTTTAATATGAAATTTTGAGAGAAAAAAAGTTAAACAACAATAGTAGTTAAAAAACATAAAACTACTTCAAAATTAAACTTTTTTTTTAAAAAAAAATTTAAATAAATAACTTCTCTATAGAGGATTCAAAATTACAACCTTGCCAGCTGCGCATCATATCTTCACCGCATACTATGCCACTATTTTTCTAATTTGAAAAATTTAAATATTCAAGTTTTTTTGGTGTGCAAGTAATATTAATATTAGTGCATAATGGTAATATAATGTTTTATAATAAATAATTAATTTATAATAACACATTAAATATAAAATAATTTGTGCGTACAAATAATGAATTTCTTTTCAAATACATGAAAAATTCTTAGTTATGCAAAATACACTTTTATTTCCGCAAAATACACTTTTATTTTATTTTGTTTTGGACATTTCTTTAAAATGATTTCCGGATTTTTTCGGGATATTTTTAAGAAAAAATTTTCTAGATTTTTAAAATATGCCAGGATAATCCCTGATAATAAGATAATTCTGTATTTGAAAAATTTTTGATTAAAAAATATTTTTAAAGATTGCTCAGTACATCTGAACATTAGGTGAATCCCTTATCAAAATAAAAAAATTTTCAACACTATGTCAACCTGGGTCTCAAAATAACAAAATTTTGTCAAAAACTCAAAAACAATTGTTTTATAAAAAAGTATTATTATAGTATAAGTAAAAAAAGTTAATAAACAAAAAATTTGTAAAAATGCAATAAAATCTAAATTAATAGTTTTTGTATAAAATGATTGTTATATTTTATAAAGAGATTTTTTATTCAAAAATTTTTCAAATACAGTGTTTTATATCAAACACGTTTTGGGAACTGGAAGAAACATTTTCAAAAAAATTATTTTGTTAAACCACCTATAGTGATTAATTGGCTTAAGCAAATGTAAAGAATTAAAAACACTGTTGAAAACTAAATGCGGTAGTGGTGTAGTGGTAGAGCGCTCGCTTCATAAACGAGTGGTTCCGAGTTCGATCCCCACCACGTCCCTTGTAGTACCGCGCTCAACTCGTTTCTCCGTGCAGCGGCCTTGTTCGTCAAGGTTCGTGTTTCGGAGTTATAGAGTTGAGAGAGGGCTATAGCCACAAATAAGTAGCCTCCTCGTCTGTAGTGGCCTTCTCGGCCTTGAGGAGGTGAATTAAAATAAAATAAAATAAAAAAATAAATAAATGTCGCAAATGTAAAGAATTAAAAACACTGTTGAAAGATGTTACTTAAATTTTTATTGTAATCTGTTCAACTTCAATTTAAAAATCAAAAGTTTCAAAAAAAGAATTTTTTGGTTTTCTTAAAATAAATTTATTGTTGGTTATAAATATAATTTAGCAGATTTATTTTATTGATTTTTTAAGGAGTTTACAGACATTGTAGCAAATCTCCAGGATGATGATTCTCCAACATATTTTGGTTTACCACTGAATATAGAGCAGTCTACACAAAAAGTCATCAGTTCACAGGTGAATATAAGTAAATAAAGATGTAATATGGTTTATGTAACAATATTATACAATTGTACATACAACAATATTATACATTTTGATTAAATTGTTTTTTCTGAAATTATTTTGAGCACATCTAAACCTAAAATCTGGTGCAATTTTTCCAACCATCAATCAAAAAAATTTCAACTAGGATATTCGTTTAAGCAGGCAATAAATTTCTCATAGTTTGAATTCTATTTTGTTTCTTAGTTTTCTATCCATAATGCAGAATAAGTCACATACATAATAGTTAATATAAATATTTGATGTGCTATACTGGTGAATAGGTTTTACTTACCATATTTAACAGTAGCTGAATTTAATAGTATATATTAGTAATGATATATTTTTAAATAATCAAATAGCATACATAATAGTTAAAAAGAAAAATGTTTTATATTTTAAAACATTCTTAATGCAAGCTTTGTTGAAAATAAATACAAATATTTTTTTTAGGTTATACTTCAACTAAAAGTCCTGATGCGAGCTGATATTTCTGTTCACAAGTTTGATAAAGACAAATGGGCTACTGAGTTAGCTCCAATACTAAATTTATGGAAAAAACTAAATCAAGTAAAGCTTTCTTATCATAACTTAATTTTAAAGGTGTAAACTGTATTGTATGTATTAATATTAACAATATAATTTGTTTGATATTTTTTGTAAACTTCATATTTTTGTTTCAGGGTTCAACCTTTTTGCAGATGAAGGTTAGTCTTCCTTCTGATGATCCAGACACACCTCCAGTAGAATCTTTTATTAAGTTAGAGCACTACAACTCTATTATGCTTGTGCAGTATGTTCATTCAACACTTGCATCTCTAGCTAAAGTTATTAAAGGTAAATTGTGCCTTATTTTTTATTATCTTGTGCTGTTTTTTTAGTATGTTACTGTTTAGTTAAAGTTTAAATTTACTAAATTTGCTGCTTAGTACATTCTCTATTACCTTAGGTACCCAGTTGTTGACACCAAGTGTTCAATTAATGGCAGCTTCTTTGATGCATCATGAAACTCCTTCTATATGGAGCAAAGAATGGGAAGCTGGTCCAGAAGAGGCAGTTTTGTGGTTGAAAGCTGTTATGCTAAAAACAAATGCTTTAACTACATGGTTAGAAAAAGTTAAGTCTAGATCATTGTTAACAGATGTTCTTGATTTATCAGAATTATTTCACCCAGACACCTTTTTGAATGCATTAAGACAACAGACAGCTAGGTATAGTTTTGTATAAACATACCTTCTAAAAAAAAGGAATATTTCATGTTTTTGTTATTGTGTTTGAATAGCATTGAACATTTTTTTAAAAAAAAACAATTTAAAAATGTGTACTTGTTTGTAGAGCAACCAAAGTACCTATGGATCAATTGAAGTTAGTTTCTTCTTGGAAGACTAGTGGTTTGTCTGCAGCAAAAGTTGCTGTAAAAGTTAGTAGTATATCTATTTTTTAATACGAAGAAAAATTAAAATGAATTTGATTTTTGTATCTAAAGCATTTTAAATTTTTTTACCAGATTGGAAATTTGCAGTTAGAGGGATGTATTTTTGATGGAATTACTTTGTCTGAAAATGGGCGCACGTCTGTTAGCATATCATCTGTACCACCTTGTTTTGTTGCATGGATTCCTAAGGTATTAATTACATGCTTATATTTCCTTATATATGTGTGTATATATATATATATATATATATATATATATATATATATATATATATACATATATATATATATATATATATATATATATATATATATATATATATATATATATATATATATATATATATATATATATATATATATATATATATATATACACCTATTGGGTGTATATATATTTACAGGCAGGTCATGGCCTAGGGCCCCGAAATTGAATTGCGATAAAATTAAATTTTAAAAAGTAGTAGTGTGAAAAAAAAATTTATACCGCTTTGTTTTTTTTTCTTATCACTTTTGTGATTAGAAAGAAAAAAATTTTATAGGCAATAGTTTAATTTAAGAGAAATATTTTTATTAGTATGAATAATAATAATTTAACAAATATATATCTATATATATACAAGGAGCCTATCCGCAAAATGAGTCACAAAAGTCACAAAAATGAAAAAAGAATCAGTTTACTCAGACTTAACACGTTTTTATAACTTTTTTTTTTTTTTTTTTTGATGATGGGAAACAGGCTCAAGCTTAGCAGATATAGCGGGTCCAACTATGTTTAAAATGCATTTTTGGACCTTGTCTAGAAGAGAAAAAGCATCATTAGAAGAACCAGCCCAAATATGATAACAGTATTCCATACAGGGACAAATAAGAGATTTGTAGAGGTAGAGAATGGAATAAGGAGAGAGAAAATGGTGAGCATGATAAAGAGAAGCCACCTTAGCAGATGCTAATTTAACAATCCATTGTATATATGGTTTTCATGAAAGGTCAGTAGTAAACGATAATCCAAGAAGTTGTAAAGAAGATGACTTAGTGAGAGGGTTGCTATTTATTAATTTAGGCATGTTGACAGTACTGTGGTAGTTGTTTTTAGTAAATAACTGAGTTTTGTTGGAGTTAAAATTTACAAGCCACTATGAGCCCCAATCTGTTACAGAAGTGATATCAGATTTAAGGTTGGCTGCCTGTTCTAAGCAATTAAAAATAGAAGACTTTTTGTCAAGACAGTGGTATAAGGTTGAGTCATCAGCAAAAAGAGCTACTTTAGATGTAAGGTTGTCAGGAAGATCATTAATATAAATAAGAAACAAAACAGGACCAAGGATAGAACCTTGAGGTACCCCAGAAGTTACTGGAAATAAAGAAGAGTGTTGGCCTTCCAAGATGACTTTAATAAAGCGGCTAGAAAAAAACGATTTGATAATTGCAAAAACTTTCCCAGGTCCATCATATATAACAAGCCTATAGAGAAGACTATGCCAAACTTTGTAGTAAGCCTTAGATATGTCAAGAGCAATAGCTCTAGCCTTTCAGCCTCCATCAAATGCATGATAAAATCTTTCAGTCACAGCAGTTAGCAAGTCAGCTGTAGAGCAAGAGGATCGAAAAAAGTATTGATTGTCTGACATTAAGTTATTTGACTCAAGATGGGATGTGGAAGTTTGTTTATCAAAGACTCAAAGACCTTGCTAATAACAGAAAAAAGAGAATGACCATAAGATTTGAAAGTCGAATTCTGCCTAATTCCAGTAGGTTACTATTGAATCCAGGAAGTAACTAATTAAATAAATGTTAAAATCAATAGTTAAAGACATATTTTTTACTTTTTAAGATAGTAAAACATCTCGGCATAAACTCAATAAGTTTAATAATTTTTTCAGGTGTAATCTTATTCCAGGTGGCTTCAATAGCTTTAAGTAGCTCATCAGCTTTCTGAAGGGTCCTTTGTGTTTTAGGAAAAGTTCAACTTGGTACTATAAGTTTTCAATTGGATTGAGATCAGATGATTGGCCACTTCATTATTTTAATTTGATTGATTTGATTTAAACCATTGTTAATGAGTTTAGAGGTGTGTTCTGGTTGTTTGTGTTTTGTTTGGTTGATTATTTTGTTGAAATATCCATAAAAGAGGCCTGATATTATCAGCCTGAGGAACGGTTTTTTTATGAGAATATCATGATAAATAAATTGATCAATAATGCCATTTATTTGATGGATATCATTAAAACTTTCAAAAGGATTCTTTTTGGCATGACTAGTAATTTTTCTGCACATGAAACAACATGTTTTGTGTAATCTCCCACCCTTATGTTTTATTTCTAAATGATTGCCTAAATTAAATTGTTTGATTATTTGACATACAATTGAATTATAAATGGAGTAATTAGTGGCAATTTCTGTTTGTTTGACTCTTCTTTTATAATTTATATATCTAGACAAATATTGATAATTTGTTAATTTTTATTGGTTAAGTATTAATGATTACAACATTAAAATTGTCTTGGACATTATTTTCACACAAAGAAATTCTCTTGCAAATGATTTTTTGTGGTTAGGAATTATTTTTTTAGAGTAGTTATAAAAATTTGCAAATGTCTTGAAAGACCACATTTTTATATATAAATACCAATAAAAGCAAAAAAACATATTTGTTCATTTTCAAGGAGTCTTATTATGTATAATTTTTTTTTCCTATATATGTAATATTAACATTTTTTTTTTTTTTGAAAAGTTGCTATATTCAGTAACTAATGTTAAAAAAAAAAAAAAAATTCATTTGGTTGCTTATGTTTTGGAGGACAGTGTATATTCATATATATATATATATATATATATATATATATATATATATATATATATATATATATATATATATATATATATATATCCTTATAGTGTAGTCGAAAGAGTCGTTTAATGTAAAAAAAGTCTCTTTCGACTACAATTTTAATTACCTCGTCTCTTAAGCTGTTTTTGATTGTCATCGAAATGTCAAAGCAATTAATTTATGCAGAAGTACATTAAATTTAATTGTTTTTTAAAAAATTTTTAAAAAACCGCAATTATAACGACTAGAAAGTTTTTTTTAATTAGTGGTGTTTTTGTTATTGATTTAATAAAAAACATTTTTAAAACATGCGTAAATGTTGCTACATCGACTATCTTATAGCCTGACTCGCAACGGAGTGCTGCTACATCAACTGACAAATAGCCTGGCTCGCAACGGAGTGCTGCTACATCGACTGACAAATAGCCTGACTCGCAAGGGAATGCTGCTACATCGACTGACAAATAGCCTGACTCGCAAGGGAGTGCTGCTACAACGACTGACAAATAGCCTGACTCGCAAGAGAGTGCTGCTACATCGACTGAGGGTTTGGTTTGGCCAGGCAGTCTATCAATTAAAAAAAAATATATTTTTTAAAACTTTTTCTGGTCTGGTTTATTAACGCGCTCTTTAAAACTACAGTTTATGGGAAACTTTTTTTGATGCCATGCAAGAGACATGCAAGAGTATATATATATATATATATATATATATATATATATATATATATATATATATATATATATATATATATATATATATATATATATATATATATATATATATATATATATATATATATATATATATATATATATATATATATACTGTATATATACAGTAGCGTCCAAATGTTTGCAGACATGAATAAAAAAATTAAATTTTACTAATACTACAGTGTATACACCACTTGAGCCATCATATTATATACCAATTAAAAGGTTTTCATGTTAACAGTTATGTTTTGAGCAAATAATTGTTTTTTAATTAAATATTAAAAATTGGTTTACAAAATAAGGACTTTTGATAAGTTCAAAAGTTTGTGAGCAAACTAAATCTTTTAACATTTCCCCCACAAAATTGCTAAATTGTTGATTTTATAAACTAATACTTTGTGGAAATAATTTACAAACTTTATTTTTAAGTGATTGAGATTGTTTGACAATTTTCCATTCTATAATTGGCTTTATGTTTTGGTCTTTTAAGGTCCATATTTCCTTAGAGAGTTCTGTGTCATTTCTATACTTAACTGATGCAAATGATTTGAGATGGTTTGTGTATCTTAATTTAAATGGCGTATTATTAATTCCAAAATATACTTTTTTATTACGATCGTGATGACTGGAACTTAGGGTTGCTTGGTAGACGATATTGTTAGATCAACAATGCTTTATCTACACAGTTAGATTGGTTGATTTTTGTTGTGCAAAATTTTGAACTTATGCAAATTTATGATAGATTTTAGGTTAGGCAGGCAACTGTAGCTGATCTCAATAGAATTTCGGTTGAATATTTTTGATGTAGTTTGTGGCCAGCTAGAAAATGTCGATAGGGGCTAGAAAACGGTTTCTTATTTTTGTTTTTTGACGTCTTAGCTAAACAGAGGGTTATACCAAATGATATTACGTTTATGCTGCTTTTTTTGTTGATTTTGATTTGGATTAATTGTGATAATAATAATAAATTCTACCTATTGATACTTCTTATTCTTGAAATCAAGTTTTTCTCTGAGCAGGCTTATTTTAAAACGAAACATTTTTTTTAATTTTTCTAATATAGGTCATTTAAATTCATAAATCAATACTCAAAAAATTTGCCTTTGTTTGAAAAAATCAATAGACTTTATACACATTCAATTTTTACTAATAAATCGAAATGAGAGGGCTGTTAATTTTATATAGTCATAACTTTTAAACACTAAAATATAATTAGATAGCATTGAAAAACTGTTGATATTTTTTGTATAAGATAAAGAAACTAAATATTTTATCAAGTCATTGCCATCATGTTTGGGCAGAGGCAGTGAGCATCTAGGGATATTATTGTTTACAATTTATAAAATTTTTTGCAAAACATATATATATATATATTTATATATATATTTTCACGTTGTTTTTAACTTTTAAACAAAACTAATGATTAGTTTTTAGGGGGTAATCATAATATGGTTTTTTCAACATCTATTAAAAATGACATTGATTCACTATCCTAAATATACCCCCAATGTACTGTATCAAATTATTTTTTTGTATAGATGAATAGAGTATTTCTTAAGCTCCAGTGACTTTTGTTGAGCTGCTTAGCCAAAATGATTAATTTTGCAAATTTGTGAAGCCTTCCAATATTCAAAAGCAGCGAGAATTCTATAAAATTTATTGTTAATAAAGATCATAGTTGTGGTTTTTAGTGGAGCCATATTCATTATAGCAGTAAAAAACACTTACCTTTTCTACTAGGTAAAGTTTCACAGAATATCATAACATTATGTAAATTTACTTAAACCAGAAGCGTTATTGTTTATAGATGAATAAATGAAGTGTATTTTCAAAGTCACAATCGTAGATATTAATTATGGAAAAGCTTTCCATAACGCACATTGCATTTTGAATACTGTTCAAATTTATTTTTTTAATACTTTTTAAGCCATAAAATCAAGAAAAATTGTCAACATCACCAAGTTGTTAGAAAAATATTTTTTTTGTGTGTGTTTCGATTTTCTTAATTTTTTAAGTTGACATTTCTGATTGTTTTTTGTTTGTTTGTTTGTTTTTGTTCTTTTTATGGTACTTAACAGACAAGTCTTTAGCCAAAAACTTAAATTTATAATATTAAAATTTTTAACCAGAGAAGCATTCTGCAGAGCAATAGCAAAAACAAAATAGATTTAATTAATTATAAAAACTCTTTTTTAAAAGTATGTGTTATAAGGAACAATCTTTTAGAATTAATGGAGAAATAAGTTGTTTAAATATTTTTTATCTTATAAAAAAAATTTAAACAACTTCTTGTATTATGTATTTTAAAGAAGAACTCTTTTAATATATTGTGAGATAAATATATCGATGCAATTTGAGTTTATTAAAACGAAATTATTTTATATTTGTTAAAGAATTTTTTAAAAGGAAATGCCTGAATTATAAATTGTATTTTTAGGAGCAACCAGAACCGTACACTCCAGATGAATGCATTTCATTACCTATTTACTACACAATGAATCGAGAAAAAATTGTTGCCGAATTGAATGTACCTTGTGGAGGAAATCAACAAAAATGGATTCAATGTGGTGCTGCACTGTTCTTGAAAAACGAATGAATTTATCAAAACTCTTTAATGATTTTAAAAACGAAAAACTTGTGTCAAAGCTAAAAAGAAATCATTAAATTAAATAATGTAAAACAAAATTGTATTTTAAATGTAAATAAATTGAATTTATTGTAAACAGATATAGAATATTGGATCAAAGTAACATTTTTTTTTTGATGTTGTTGTTGTTGTTTAGAAACTTTTATAAAACAGACGACGGCAATCTTAATATTAAAAGGAATTTATTTAAATTCGAAAAATCATTTGAAAATGTGCAAAATTATATTTATTTTTTATAATTATATTTATATATATATAATTATATTTATATATATATTATATTTTTTATAATTGATAATTTATAATTATAAATTATTTTACAATATTTAAGACAAAAAAACATAAGAATCCATTAACTGCGTCTAGTGGCGTCGGTTATTTTCATTGTTTTTTAATTATAAGCTTAAATATTGGCCGACTAAGGGACCACAAAATTTAGCAACTGATATAGCTTCATATGATTTAATTTGGGTATTATGTGATAATTTGGTAATTATTTTGATTATATTGAAATATAAGTGTTCAGTATGGCTAATAACGGATGATGCGGAAGATATCGGACAAATCTGAACTTAATTATTTCAGCACAAACCTATTATAAAAAATGATAATAGGTTTGTGCTAAAATTATTATAAAGTGAAATTGTAAATCATTTCAAAAATGAATGATACCCTAAAAGTACAATATATGATAACTTAGAATAACTTGAAGCTGTTCAATTTTTTTCTGATAAAAAGCAAAATTAACGAGACTTATAAATAATCAATATATTTATGAACGGTAATGTACTCGATGAGTCTCCTACCCTTCATCTTCTAGGATTAACTCTTACTTCTGATCTTTCTTGGAAACCTTATATCAAATCCGTTGCAAAATTAGCATCTGCTAAAGTTGCTTCTCTTTATCGAGCTCGTCACTTTCTTACTCTGGATTCTATTCTCTATCTCTATAAATCTCAAATCCGGCCTTGTATGGAACACTGTTGCCATATCTGGGGCGGATCTTCTAATGATGCCCTTTCTCTTTTAGACAAGGTGCAAAAACGCATTGTAAACATAGTTGGACCTGCTCTTGCAGCCAACCTTCAACCTCTGTCACATCGTCGTAATGTTGCTTCTCTTTCTCTTTTCTACAAATACTATAATGGGCACTGCTCTAAAGAGCTAGCGTCTCTTGTGCCATCTACTAAAATTCATTCTCGTGTTACTCGTCATTCAATTAAGTCTCATCCTTTTTCTGTTACTGTTCCTAAGTGCTCCAAAAACTCTTATTCGTCTAGTTTTTTCCCTCGAACATCAGTTCTTTGGAATTCGCTTCCTTCATCTTGCTTTCCTGATTCATATAATTTGCAATATTTTAAGTCGTCTGTCAATCGTTATCTTGCTCTACAATCTTCATCTTTTCTCTTCCAGTAACTTCCAACACTAATTAGTGGTTGCTTGCAACCTTGTTGGAAGCAAAGATAATTAAAAAATATATATATATATATAGAAAGTAGGAAACTCTCTCCAGCTTTATAACGCGAAATCACTTTTGATCATCGATGATGAAAACTACTTTTGTTTTGCACGTGACAATAGGCCTGGAAATTTTGGATAATGCACAAACAACTAAAAAAACATGCCTAGAAACTGTTCGCTTTATAGAAAAAGAGAAATTTCAAAAAAAAAAAAACTATTAATGTCCATATCTGACCGTTGTATGTACGAGCCATTGTTTTCTACTTCCGAAGCTTTAAAGGTTATAACATTAATCTATGAATGTTTAGAAAAACAACTTCTTCCTTTCATTCACAAGTTCGATGGAGACTAACTATTTATTTTTGCCAGATTTAGCAAGTTCTCGTTATTCTAAAGATTCATTAAATTAAATGGACGAATATGTCAAATACTTTGACAAAGAATCCACCCCCCACATGTGCCTCGAGCGCAATTAATTGAAGGCTTTTACGGATATTAAATGTCCTCAAAAGTTTTTAATTAGTTGTGCGAAATTTTAGCACAAAAAGTTTACGAGGGAGATTGGCAAGCTTCATTAGAGCAAGTTTTGATTGATCGCATGAAATTAAAACTACAAGAAATTGATTTTAATTTTTTACAGTCGCCTATGAAATGTTTCAAAGCAAAATGATATCAATTGAAAATGATGGTATTTTTTCATGCAAGAAATAACTGATTTTTATTAAAAGATAAATACTTTATTTAAAAAAATATATTTTAATAGTTTTTTTTTCATTTATAAATAGGATATTGACGTTTTTATTTTGTATAATAACTTTTTTATTATTTTTATTCTGATTCACTCCTAAAAAGACTGCAACCAACCACTATATTGTTGAGAGTAACTAAAAAAAAGAATAGAGTTGTAGAACAAAGAAACAGTTGACAAAAGACATAAAAAGATGTAATGTTGTAAATAAAAAGATGTAATGATGTAAGTCGTATGAGTCAGAAAAACATGAAGATAGGAGCTAGTTTGAAAGATTTAAAGTGTTGGATTAATTATATACGAATAAAATTTTTTAGAGCATGAAGGGAATGATATAGTAAACGAATGAGACTTTACTGAATGAGGAGTCAAGCAAGAATGAATTTTGATTAATAGAACTAGAAATTATAGCTCCTTTGAGCATTGATTATAATAGTATTTGCAGAAAAGAGAAATGATGCAATTCAAATACGTTAAAAAATGCATTTTTGGACCATAATAACCAACCCAAAAATGACAATTGTATTCCATACAGGAATAAATGAGAGATTTGTAGAAGTAGAGAATGAAATCAGGAGTAAGATAATGGCAAACACGATATAAGAAAGCAACTATAGTGGATACTAATTTTGCAATCAATTGTATATATGGTTTCCATGAAAGGTCAGAAGTCAATAAAAATCTAAGAAGACATAAAGAAGAAGACTCAGTCAGAGGTTGCCATAATATAATATATGAATGTCAACACTACTGTGATATTTGTTTGCAGTAAATATCTGAAAGTTTTTAGAGTTAATATTCACAAGTCACTGCAAGCCCCAATCTGTTACAATCTGTTACAATCTGTTACAATCTGTTACAATATGTTACAATCTGTTACAATCTGTTACAATCTGTTACAATCTGTTACAATCTGTTACAATCTGTTACAATCTGTTACAATCTGTTACAATCTGTTACAATCTGTTACAGATATAAGATCAGATTTATGATCGGCTGCTTGTTCAAACCAATCAAAAAGAGAAGACTTTTTTTAAAATAGGAGTATAAACTTGAGTCATCAGCTAAAGGAGCTACGTACTTTAGATGTACGGATGTTGGGAAAATTATTTATGTAGGTAAGAAACAAAATAGAACCAAAAATAGAACCTTAAGGTACCCTAAAAGTTACTGGAAGTAAATCTCAAAACTTTTTCCAGATACGCCATATAAAACAAGCTTATGGATGAGACTAAGATGTCAAACTTTATTCAAAGCTTTAGATATTTCAAAAACAATAGCCTTTGCCACACCGTTTTTATCTAATGCACGATAAAATCTTTCTGTCACAACAGTTAACAAGTCAGCCATAAAGAAAGAGGATCAAAAACTGTATTGATGTCTGCCAGTAAGTTATTTGACTCAAGATAAGATGTGAGAAATTCGTAGGTGAAAGACTCTAAGACCTTGTTAATAACAGAAAGAAGACTGATTGAGGGATAACTGGAGAAGACAGAATGTTGGAATTTTTTCAGAATGGAGATAGAATGTTGGAAATTTGAACAACAGATGACATTTCCCAGCACGCAGGAAAACAAGACTCAGTCAAGCACTTATTATATAGTTTAGAGATAATTAAGGAGAGTTATCAATAACAATTTTGTAAGACTATGACAGAAATTTTGTTTAAACCACAAACCATAGAAGAGCCTAATCAAGACATGACCATAGGATCGGAAGCTGGAGTGATTTGAATGCCTAACAATGGATTGACCTGTATATTTAGAATAAACGGACGAAAATTGCCATAAGATTCGAGAGTCTAATTAGAATAAAAGTTCTTTGCAAATAGTTCTGTTTTATCTTGGGAGAGGTAATAAAATCAGAATAAAACATTTTATAAACGAATATATATAATCTATAGTGCGCCAACAATAAGAAAAGATCTATGGCAATTAGTGAAAGTCAAGAGGGGTGACACCAAGAGTTTACCGCACTGGGTGACATCAACTCCGTTGACGCTTCTGAGTTTCTGTGTATCACCTTAGCTTTTAGGACAAGCCTCAAAAGTGTTTTTACACGATTTATGCTTATATCCTCTGTCATAAAAATATTTCAATAATTAATTTTGCCAGAACCCAGTCATTTTTAGCACAAATGTACAATATAACTATAAACCATGATAACTTATATCATATCAGTGTGTTTTTGTAATCAACCAATTATGTGGTTGGATACTTAAATAAATACAAATTTAAATGAATATTTCAATCCTGTTGTTTGTGTGTTTCAGATTTTAATTATATTATTAATCGATTTGAATTCAAAAATTGGATTTGCTATACCAACGCTTTGTACAAATTTAGCAGACAGATTTTACTTTGTGTATAGCACTGTGTCTAAGAAGAAGAAAATATCACACATAAAAAAGAAATATTATCATGCGTACTTTCGATATAAATTCGGTTACCAGGATAAATAATGGGTGCCTCATGTTATGAGGCGCCCATGTGGTAAACTTTGTGAAGTAACTCTTGCCATAAGGTTTAATGGTAAATAAAAAGTATGTCATTTGACGTGAGTCTTCAAATCAGTAACAGAATGCTATTTTTGCATGAAGAATGTTGTTAGTAATAGTAAAAGTAATATTTATTGCTGTAAAAATTATAATTTTTAAAAGTAAAATGAATTGTGGAACACGTTGAAAGCATCGTGTTATAGACAACCTACATAATTTAAAATACAAGTTATTAAAAATATTTATCTATTCATCTTGATTCTATAATTTTATTTGGTAACAAACTCCAATTATTACAAACTTGGTTAGTGAAGAAGTTATATCTCGGTAAATATGATGATACGTATTCTTTTTCTGACCTGTATTTGTTGCCCAAAAAAAAAAGGTCGGGCCTGAATGAGTCAAGGATGA